AGGTATCGGATTTGAAGCAGTTGCATTCGTATTTATCCAGGGACACCAGCCGAAGCGCTAATGTAGCTACCATGAAACTTTTTTTGGAGCGCCTTTGCACATCCAAGCCTACAAGATCGTCAACAGCTGGCAGGCGAGGGCCTGTGGCAAGGAAGGAATGCAACGAACAAGATCTGGTCGAAGAATATCAGAAGCGATTGGAAAAGCTTGAGGCGTACGAGGGCGCTTGCTTACATTATAGCGCATTGGGTGAAGATATTGCAGAAACATCCAGCACACCAAGAAGGCGTGCTGTTCACAAGATGCAGGCCGCTCCTCAGGATGTTGTCAAAGTTAGCGTGTCCTACCACTATGGAGATGATAGGACCATACGCACGAGGAGGTTTGCTGAAGGAATGGGTGCGCAAAAGTGCGCCCGAAGAGTGCAAATGCACTTGTTCCATCACAGCAGGGACTTGGCCATCGCAAATTGCTGTGTTACAATCATGTTGCAGCTTCTTGACAAATTGAAGCCAAGTCCGGAGATGCCTGCGCAGGTGAAGGCAGTCCTTGTCGAATGGCATCAGTCCAGACAAAAGGTCTGCGAAAAGTTGCTGCAAGTGGCCTACGCAGAAGGCAAGGCACTTGTCAACAGAGTCTTGAACGGCGGCTCTGTTCCGCCGAAGCTTCAAAACAATGAATGGCTGAAACGAATGCAACAGGCTGGTATTTACCTGAGGTGGTTTGCGTGCTCAGTGGTGAAGGATGACTATAAGGAGATTCTCCAGAGTGGCCAAAAAGCTTTCCCTGCTGCAACAGCTTTCTACTATCTTTGGACCTCAGTAGAAGACTACATTCTGGAGCACTGGTGCGAATTCTTGAAAAGACTTCAGCCCAGCCATTTGTCGTTGCATTTTGACGGTGTGCGAGTGAGCTCAGATGTCTCCGAGGATGTTGCCAAGATCATTCAGGAATCTGAAGAGCACATCCGAAAAAGCACAGGCTTTGATGTTAAGGTTGTTGAGAAAAGGCATACGCACGTGCTGGAGGCAATCAAACAAAAGGCCAAGTCATCGGCGACGGGTGAGCCCGATGAATTTCCAGATGCTTTGAAAAAACATGGAAATTGTATTCCTTCTTCTCTTTGGCATTTAGTTGCTTCCAAGAAGGACCTAGTGAGAAAGATTGAAGCCGAGCATCCACAGAACACCTACTGCCTAGAGCGCGGGCATCGAAGCTACCGGCAATGCTGTGAGCTGTTTGGAATTGAGCTCGGAGCTACACTTGGGATTTCGTCCCCGCCACCACATTCATTCCTTCTGCACACAGAGAATGGAGGTACTCCTCACTGCGTTGCCGTCAAGCTAGACAAAGGAAATGCGACCGTGCATGACCACGACGCGCGCTGGACGATCAGCATCGACAATCTTCTAGCTGCCCTTTTTGAAGGGGTAGATTCACACACAGTCGTTACCTTCACCATTCAGAATGACCATTGTGCCCCAAGTGACCTATTGCTGGACCTGCAGGCCGGCAGCTCATCATCGGAAGATGAGTTACCAGATGCCGACAGCTTGATCGTGAATGATGAGGGGGAAGTCTTCGTGCACGACAACTTGAAGGATTCGATGGAGGAGGAAGTAGCAAGCTTCCTGCAAGAAGTTATTGACGACAACATCCGGAAGATTGGTGGGCTGTATCGGTGCACTTTATGCCCATTTCGATCATTTGCCAGGCTTCAACAGCTGCGTGTACATATAGAAAATTATCACACATCAGAGGTGCAGTTTGCCTGCTCCGGTACAAAACAACTGAAGGTCATTCTTGCTTTACACGATGACGATTGCATTCGCAGGGCCAGAGGCTGTGACTTCTTGTTTCGAAGTGCTTCGCTCATGGCCCGCAACTGCGCCCCTCCTCTCTCACATCGACAGACCTACATCGACAGAGAAGTTCGACTTCTATTCACAGCAGGCGGCCCTGTCTACGTTAACAAAGCGGCTTTCGGCACAACCATCTTTGCCCGCAGAGTCCTCAACATCTACTACGACAAATCTTTCGCCGAGGTCTTGTACCGCGAAGTTGTACTTCATCATTCAAATGCTCCGTGGCCTGAAACGGGCTTGGGCTTGGGATTTCTCGAATGTTTTTCTTTCTGTTTGTGTGTCTTTAAAGCTTGTTCATTACAGAGACAGCCCATTAGATTAGATTCAAAGCTCTCTGCAGGTCAAAAGCGTCTGGCCTCGGCTACAACTTCGATCACTGGAAGCTGGCAATCCACTAGGCCGCCTCTACCCAGCCCACAACAGGGATTGGTGGCCTGTGGTAGAGGACATTTTCGCGCGCAAGCACATTCGCATCATCCTCAACTCTCTCACCACAACGTTGCTGCGCAATTCCGAGTTCCTCTACTTGTCTGTGGATGCCACGCTCAAAATATGCGCTGGGGTTGCAGGCCAAGCAAGCTGGCGCAGCTCCGTAAAGGTACGAAATCAGGCTGCCTTTGGAGACGATGTGGCCTACCGGCGGGTTCTGACAGTACGTGGTCGGACTGGTGCAGTGGTTGCCATGGTGCCAATCAGAGGCGAGGTGGTAATGGTTAGGGCAAATAGAAAGGTTCAATGCGCCCAATGCATTGATTGCAGCCCAACCCTGACAGGTGAAGATGCAGATTGTATATCTGAAGCTCTGGCTACTTCTCTGGACACTGAGGCACTGCAACAGGTGCTGTATATAGCCACTGATTCACCTTCTTCGAAGCTCTTTTTTACTTTGAAGAAATGCCTTGTAAATCTGCGTGCTTTGTCGCTGGATCCGGTGCACTTGGCAATTGTCTACGAGTATGCCCATTGGCACCGTAGAACGTCTGGTTCCAAGGTTTTGCGACAGCTCTTGAACAAGGTTAACATTGTCGATCAGCGTTGTTCAGATAAATCTTGGGGTTCTATGTTCTGTGGCTCACATGCCAGTCCCCTGACAGCGCAAGAGGAACGATTGCGGCATATGATTTTGAATTCCTCCATGCCGGAGCGTGCAGCGAAGATTGTTCTGGCCAGGCTGGATCCTGCGACCCCTTTGTTTTGCAGGATTACATTCATTGAAACTGTGGCTGCTATCGCGCAGCAGTACGAATCTGAAGTATGCCGCAAGGTGACGGGTCAAAACAAGGAAGTCCGGCAAATACTTTGGGCCGCGTGTGCCCCAGACCGATTGGGCTGGCTTATGAACAATTTGATGGTTCGTCACGGAATGGAACCTTGGCAGCGGGCTTTACTTCCAAGCGGAACTTCGTCGAATGAGGCCCTCCACGCTCAGATAAACACTTGGACGCGTCCAATTCGCACTATGCATCGCAGCACACTGAGATTGAAGCTGCAAATCATGCAGTTTGGGAAATTGCTGGCGCATCAAACAGCATTGTTTTTCCCAACAAGCAGACAGATGCCGGAAGGAAGCTTGCTGGCACAGTGTGTTGGAGTTGATGTTTGGTGTGAGGAACAGTGGAGGTGTTGGTGTCGGATTAACAAAGCAAAGCTTCCGCTGCACTCTGCGCGGAGGGATGAAGTCCAGGCTGTAAAGGATTGGCGCAGCGCCACAACATGTAAACCCAAGACGGTTCGAAAAAGAGCCAAGAGAACCGTTTTTACATTGGCTCGTCGCCACAGACTGCGTAGAGGCGGTGTCAAATGACATTCGACTTTTTGCAACCAGAAAAATGTTCATTGCGTCAGCTGACAGACAAGATGTCACGGTTGTAGATTTTAAACTGAGCGTATATATGGATGGAGATTCAGGCATACGCGTAGTCGCATAGAGATGTGTTTGTGGCGTATGAAAGAGATAAAGGAACAGTGAATAGTGTGAACCTCTGTGCTATTGTGGATTGAACGCGTGCGTGATGGTGAAACTGAGCAACCTGGTGTAACTGCACCTTTTGTGATGTCGAGTTCCCTTGCCCCACTATAGGCTGTTAGCAGGTTCGGTGAGGTCATCTTGAAAAATCTTGAGGGAAGTGCTGTCACGCTTCGGAACCTGCCTACCTTGTGGAGATCTGAAGTCTTGGGACGTGTACGCGAGCGTACAACAAACGGTGATTTGCTTGCAATGATTTGTTTCAATCGGTTGGTTGGATCTACTGGTCATGAGTTCAGCCAAGTAGGGTTGCTCTTGGAATAGGGCAACGTTTGTTGGCGGATCTTCCGCCACGGGTTTAGTGCTTTGTTGTGTCCTTTTCTCTTTTTGATCCGCCCGCACTCTCCTTTATGAAGGGGTCTTCATTCGTTGCGACCTTTTTGGTTAAATTTTGGGGTGGTAGGTTTCTTCTTTGAGCCACCCTTGCACGGCTGGTTTGCTGCGCTGGTCCCGGTCTCCTTTCTTCCCGTACCAGGGTTGTGAGTTAACAAGTGGTGCATCTGGCATGCATGGGTTTTGTTTCTGGTGATGTGATTTCTCTTTCCAATTTATTTTGGTTCATCACCTTTCATTGCTAAGCGCATCCCGACTACTATTACTACTATTTGTTGTTTTAAGGTAGTGTTGACATGGTAGACTGATTCGAAAAATTTCGGGGACAGCAAATAGTATTTGTTACAAAAAGGATAATTTAGCTTTTTCTATATTTCTTGCAGATGGTGGAGTTATAGTTAGGTTTCACTGCGTGCCATATCATATGTGTGTAGGATGGACGTGCACAGCGCTAATACGCAAAACTTGATTGCTGGCTGGACGTTTTTTCTGGTAGACAACAAAAGACTAATGTGCTAAATGCGCTAAATAGTTTTCATATGCTGCTGTATTCTGACTGACTAAGACGAAAAACAATAGACGAGAGACCGAGAGACTAAACGAAACGCTTCACCATGCATGTCGATGTGAACTGTTGGCTATAGTTTTTCCTTTTTTCCCCATGGGTGCGCGGAAGTGTCGTGGGTTTCAATGGGTTTCAATGTCACAAAAGTCATCCGTTCAAAAGGCAATAAAGGACAGATGTTTCATTGTTGACTGCAATGTTCTATGTTTACGGTTGCTCCGCTTTTCACCCCTTGGCCCTTTGCCATGGCGCGCAGAGAGCGGCGCGCCAAGCGGATGGCAGATTGGTATGGACTTGCCGTGGAAGGCCTATACCCGGGTTTGACGGCGAATCGAGTCCTTCCGGGCATGTCCAAAAAGTAGTTGTGAGCCATATGGGAGATGATCGAAAACCCAGCGTAAGGAGTTTAATATAAAACAGCCTTTTAGATGTTGTTAAAACCCTCCGCGAAAGCTTCGCGATGAGGTTCGCGAAAGTACATGTTTTTCGCGAAAGATTTATCGAAGGTTCTGGTTTTAATATTGGTTCTCCTTTTATGGCCCACTGGATAAAAAGCTTCTACGTAGAACTTTACTTGGTTTCAATTTGTTTTGGGATGTCAATGTGTAGTGTAGCGTATGTTTGTGGGATTCCTGTATTATGTGTCATAGATCACAGATGTGTATAGTTGTCAGAGGCATTTGTGCTTGAAGCAATCTAGCCACAGAGATGGCGCCAAATACAGCCAAAGTGCAATCACCTGGCTGAGCCAGTTTGAGCCAATGGGGAAATCATTAATGATTTTTCGCGAAAGATCCGCGAAAGTTTCACGAATGTGCCGATAAAGTTCTGCCTACCAAACTTGACCCCACCCCCATACCCCAACGACCTGGAATAGGGATGTGGGGCTGCTGGTCTGTCAGCTTTGGATGACGGCTGTATCAAAGTGGTGCAGGATTTCTTCTTCCGCCCACCGTATCTCTATATATAAATATACATGACTCTCTGACTCACCCAAAACATGTTAAGTAACCAACCTCTCTTGAGGAACATGCTTCGCGATGAGGTCGCGAAAGATCCGCGAAAGATATCTGCTTTTTCGCGATGAATGGCCATTCCAGGATGAAAGAATATTGATCAAACATCATATGTTGTAGACAAGAAGGTACAGCGGAACATTATATGGCATATTCATACCCAAAGATGCGCCACCGGCATGACAGGTGAGCGCGGCGCTGCGGCAAAGAAGCAGTGTGTTGCGCGAGCCGAAGAGGCCCGGCTCTCATGCTGAGCGTTCAGCTGTGCGCAAGGGTACGGATTGAAATAGGACAGAACAAACTACACAGTGCACATTCTGAGAACAGTTAGCACAGCAACGACGCCACGACATGTGTCATGAGGGAACTTTACGAAATCTTCATGGCTGCAGGTCGCTGAGAAGCTTCCTCCAGGCGGATTACGCCGAAGCGCTCCGCGCCGTTTTTTTCGAATCATGTTTGATTGTCGTGATGCGAGACACTTCGGCTATTAGTGAATGAGTGACACAAACGCATTAGCCGTTGACAAGTTGACACATTGACAAGTGATCTACCAATCACAGATCATCGCCAGGTCGGTTTGCCTATAGGCTGCATTAGGTTTTCCTTGATCCGATTGAATGCGGAAAGCTTGGCACAGGAGCTGCGAAAGGTCTGCAAAATGCAGCACCTTCAGGTGAGGAGTGGGGAGACGGTCGATGACAGGGCCACTACCCATATCAAGAGGTGTTTTCCTCACATAAACACTAAAATCAATTTACTGCTTAGTTCCTTACTTTTCACATACCATGGCATGGCTTCTTCAGTTGTCTCCTGGAAACGAATGGGAAAGTTTCTCGGATCGAGTGTCTTTTCGTGGCTCAGGCCCGGAAGGCATTGATCCAATAACCATGGAGCGGCTTCTGTGGGGATCTGAAGTGAAACATAGAGACTGACAGTGAAGCACTTCAAGAAACATACCCTGTGAACTTTAATCCAATTTGATTCTCAGAGATTAGATTTTGGTCGAGGGCAGTCGGTGAGTTGTAATACAGCGTCCATCCAGATGGTCCCCCCTTAATTTCTATGATAGACTTCCATGCAGATGGTCGCCCCTTGAACCAAAAGCAATGTTTCGGTGGATTGTGAACGTCCGCTTTCGATCTTCCCGGTCGGATGGATATGTGGTCGTCACTGAGGAGCCAGGTGCAAAAAGGTGGTCCTTCGGTACAAAACGAAGCGCTCGTCGCAGTGACAGGCCACTGGAACGGCGTAGAGTTATGAAGACACAGATGTAATGATATTTGAGATGTATAGAAGGTATCAGACTTTTCTTTTTTCACATGTTCTCCAGAGAGCTGGTTGAAAGGTTTTGATCAGAATCCTTTTGATGAAGGACTTCTTTTGACAGACTTGGAAGTGCATTGTTTGTTTTGTGTTTTTAACCATCGGATGTTTGCGATGTCCCAGGCCTTCCGCCACAGCATGCGGCAAAGCTCTTGGAGTTTGCCCTTGAGAAGTCCAAGGACACCCGCTTCGTCGAATCGGGGATCTGGCGAGGTGGAGGTGAAGAGTCGAAGCAGAACAGTAAGCTTAGATAAAGGATCTTAGCCAAGTATCATTGTCCTGCGAAGGTCTGCGGAGTGTGAAGAAGAGTAAACACAACAAAAGCAAACAAACTCTTCAAAAGCCATGCAAACTGTCAAAGCATCAACAATATACGTGCTAGTCATGCTTATTCTTTTTTGTAAGTCATGGTATGTGGTTGCCCCATCCAGGAGCTACGGGACCCGTCGATGTATATGGTGTCCACGGTGGCAAGGCCAGTGCGTCGTTGGGGAGACAATGCTTTCGTGACCCGTCGGATTGTATTCCGGGTGCAGAAAGGTGAGTCGGGCGACGAAATCCATACTCCGGTGGTGTAGGACGCCGCTCCAAAGAGAAACTAGAACTATGGTGCCGAGCGAACATAGAAACATATGATTTGTTGAGCTTACGAAAGCTGATGCTTCAACAAAAACGTACATAGGTTTGTGCTCTGGCTTGTGTTTTGCGCTTGTTAGTTTCACAATCCATGTGGAGCAGAGTCTGATTCTAGCCACCAAAAAGAACATGTATTGCTTTGCAAGAGTGGCTCTTTCTTTACAGTTTACCTGCGTAGACCATTTACATCCGCACCACCTGGCAGGGGCTTCAAGCCCAGATGGCGCGCCAGGGTCTCAGATTTGGCAGAATTGCGGGCAAGTTACGGAGTTGCAGGAACTTTTGTTTAACGCTCAAATCAACATATTTCTGGCGGCCCGACATGGACAAACAATTCAATCAATGCGCCCTGGGCGTTTCAGAGTTGCACGCTGAGGAAATGGTGGAGGCCTCTGTCCCTTCCAAAGGATGGTTCGACGCGTTGCAAAGACGCAAGGATGATTGGCATGCGAAAATGACGGAGACATTCTTTTAACTCTTTCAACCGTATGATCACGTGGCTTTTGGGAGCCTCATTTGTTTTGGCACGAAGCCACTCATGAATTGAATTCACCAAACACTATGTTCATATCTGCGCGGGAATCAATCCGGTTGATGGTTATCGAAAAGATTTTTCAATCGGTACCTTTGTGAGGAAAAGGCGTACAACTTGAGCTGGCGCAAGATCGAAAGCCGCAGCCTGGCTTGAACGCAAAAGCGGCCGTACTCTTTTGAAAAGCGTAACAAGCTTTTGAACGTCATGCCAACCGTTCTAGGCTTCGGGAACCATCAGCCATCAGCGCTTGTATCCAAGGCACAAAGCCAGGAGTGTTCTACTGGGAGAATTTTCACACAGGCCAGAGATCAGTGGACGACGCTTTGGCTGATTCATTAGTTGCAACGCATGCTTCCCAATATACATGTGCAATAATTGAACAATGAAAAACAATGAGAAACCGATCTAAGGACCCGCGACGTCCGGTTTCTCCTTCCCCTGTGCGTGGTGGCATGGGCAAATGAGACCTATGCGCGCTAGTGAGAAATGTGCCGGTGCTTTTCATCCGCAACGAAATGTTACCAAAAGGTCCCTGCCACATATATATATATATATGTGTGTAGTATATACATATAGCGAAGGTGCCATATAGCAGTATATGCATGGTAATTCAATACAGCCCGTAAACTTAGAAGGTGCGCAGCAGGACCCCCCCTTCTAAATTTATCTACTGCTTTGAAGTGCCGAAAATGCATGAAAATGCTACCTTCTAAGTTCCGGGCCGTCGCTATATGTATTATATCTAGTGTTAATCCATGGACGAGTCATGAATGGAGCAAATGCATGTAACTCTTCCATACATCGACTTTCTAACAAATGTGTTCGACTCCCACCATTCGACGACGACCCTCCTGGCGCTCCGTTCGCTCCGACAGTCGAGTGCAAAACAGACATGGCTGTGGGTCATTACCCTGGTAGGTTGTAGGTTGACTTCCCAGGTAGGTTCCTTCGGTTCATGTTCTGCGGGAAAAAACCGGATGGCCGGTGACCCACACCCACATGTATATACACGTTCGACTTTCACATCTTGGATGATATTTCAACCCCCCCCCCATAAGTAGTCCCCCCATGTTAGAAGAGGTTTTTACACTAATAGCAAGAAGTTACTAGGTCGGAGGCCATCGCTATTTGGTTGGAGGCCACTACTACTAGTAACAAGAATCTACTAGTAACAAAGTTATTGGAGCTCAAACGTCTACATGACCCATTTCGGTGCGGAGCTTCGACCGCCACGAACGGGTCGGTGCCCTGTCGGCAGGGTCGCTGGTCTTTGAACGCCGAGGCCCTCAACCAACGACATGGCGCTGGTCTTCGAACTGGTGAAAGGGCAGACTCTCCACGCTGCTGGGGCGCTTTCTGAGGGTGGGCAGGTTTGCAACAGCCCGTTGTTTTGAGGAAATACATACACAGTAGGTGGAAAGATGGTCCGAAGGGGAATCCGCGGAAACAGAATGCCCCATCCTTCCACAACTTTGCAGTGACCATGCTCTTTTGAACATGGGAATATGCTAATTGAAAACAGGAGAAACAACATGAATCAACGACAAAATACGTAGATGATCCAAAATACATATGAAATAGGAGTCTAGAGGCTCAGACGTGCAAAACCTCACTGGACCATTTAGACCATTTCCTGTATTCAGTGTGAATGTGTTTGGATGTGTATGCGTTTGTCGCCTCAGTCGCATCCCATTCTCCTCCGGTTCCAGATCTTCGGACCCCAGTCGCACAAACCTTCCTGATCTGATCGTCTTCGTGTTTTGGGCGAGGGCTAAGGGACTGGGCATCCATTGCGTGTTGTTTCATGCACGATGTGAAGAATCCGGGATCCCAATTTCTGGGGATATGGCAGCCTCTCCCTCTCACACGACCCACCCGACGGTCATGGCTTTGTGGTCATGGCAAAGGACTGGCTCAAAGGGCAGCCTCATCCCATTTCCTGCGACGCAGGACCGCGTTTTTTTCAGCTCTGCGCTTTCAGCCCTATGGGGACGCGCGCACAGCTTTTCTCATTCTTCACTGTTTGGTTCAAAAAAGGTTTTTTCTTCAATTTTGTCAACATCGTTTATGGATGTTTATTGTGGCTTCTTGCAGGTTTTGCTAAAACTTTGTCACATTCAATTTGCAGGCTAATTGGTCGCAGATCCAGGAACATGTAGGTTTGCTAGCAAACAGGACCCTGTCCTAGCCTCCAGACCACATTGTGTTTTTCCTAATGCTGCTTAGCCGCCAAAAACGCGCAGGAAAGGTCAATATCCTACGTGATATCTCGCTGGCTCTGAGATATATGCATCAACAGGACAAGACTCTGGCAACTTGGATCCAAGTGTCAGGGTACATGATAAATCTCTGAAGTCAGACGGATGCAACAGATGAATCAAACCACCGCTCAGAGATATAAGGATTCGAATGTATTCAGGGCGTTCAGGTTTTCATGCCTTGGACAAATTTGTTTTCGATGCTTGTTGAGCGCAATGGTCATCGGGGAAACCCCATCTACAGCAGTCAAATCATGTCAATCTCCATACCATTGATGGTTCGGGCGCTTGCCCCGTACAAGCGGTGCTGAGCTTGACGGAAGAGAACGCTGAGTAAATCTTCCAATGTGCCCCGGTGAGTCATTGGGTTCATCATGGTTTATGTTAGTTGGGCGTGGGTCCAACAAGCGTTGACGTGAAACCTAGGTGCATGGCGACTTGAAACCTACGAATGTGCGTCTTGGCTTTTAACATCCTTTAACAGCTTGAGATCTGGGACCTATCTCGGCCCGAATGAAACATGAGACCCTGCAAAAGGTGTCGATGTTCACCAACAGGTTTGCATATTTAAAGATAGCCTGAAACAGTTTCTGAACGAATCATCCGTTAAACATTACTTCGCCATCCTGAGCCGAACTGCACCGTGGACCGAAGAGACTTCTGTGTACCACAGCGATTGTTGAAGCAAGTTTTCAGTGTTACTTGCAACTTGATACTTGCAGCGACCAGGTTCGTGGAAGATAACTTAGAGACGCGAGCCAAGTTGGGAGACTTTGGCTTGTCCAGGCTGGGTGGAGCTTGCGTCGACTGGCGGGGGACTGAGGGTAGGGCTTTCAACCTCGACGTCTTCCGGTGGAATGATGTGGAATCGAAAGGTCTTCTACTCACTCATCCCCCAAATCCCCTCCCGGTCCCTATTCTTCTTTTGAGGGGGACATCTACTGGAATGATCCGGAATTGCTTGGCAGTGGAGCTTGGCCGATCAATATACCTGGACCCGACTGACCCAGTACCTTAGAAAATGGGACATGACCCCATAAAAAACAGGTACGACTGTACCCATTTTCCAAGGTACGAACTGAGACTCCAGGTATAGCCAATTTATGGTTTTTCGAAGAACCATCAAACATGTCCACCCACTGTCGCGGGCACCCGTCCCCACAGCAAGGGGGTCACCACACATCGTTTCTCATGGCCATCGCACGTCGTGTTCGTCTTCTTTCACCCTATGGCGCCCCGAAGGCGCCGAAGGCGCCTGCCTTTCCAACGTTGGGGCGTCGAGTTTCGACCCAAGTTACGGCGACCCAATTTGGCAGTGTTTGTTGGGCGGATCACTGGGCGGATGTGTGCTGTTTTCGGGAGATGTCTGTGTTTTCGCCTCTTCCCCAAGCTACTGAAGGTACCCCCTTCTTTTCGTGCAACCAGAGGACCGAGGCGACCGAGGCCGAGGTTTTTCGCGACGGTCTGACCATGGTCCACGGGTCACCTGGGAGGTTTCTCTACAAGACAGAGCAAGCCATGGGTGGATCCCTTCGCTGGATGGCTCCGGAGATTGCCACCGGCCACGATCGGTCGCCGTCCCTTGGGCGCAGACGGCCACGGGCCACGGTGACGGCGCCTTCGGTCGCGGGACTCGGTGTTTGGACGGGACGGGACGTGTGCGGTGACCTCGGTGCCAGACGATCGGAGGGGACTGGAGGAAGCGGCTCATGAAGCGCATCACTTTGGAGGATGAAGGAGGATGAAGAATGTGCTTCATGACGGAAGATTCTAGATGTGTTATTTGTATGTCTTTGTTGTTGCACTGCGACGACTGTAAGCCGGGATTGAATTCCAACTCCTATACTAACCTGCATCTAACCTGCTATGATCCAACAAAAACATATAGTAGGATCATGAATTCCAACTCCAACATCCCAAGAACATGCCTTTGCGGTTCAGATGGGGATGGACTGAGGTCTTGTGCTGCCGACGTCTTTTCTTTGGGTGCACTCCTCAGCGACTGGGCCCAACTGCCCCCAAGGTCGGTGATGGAGAGAGACCTGGTCAACGACCCGAGGTAGGGGATTTGGACCGCTTTTGAAGGCAAAAAAGAAGAGTTAATGGACGGGAGGAAGGGTTTCCCCACTTGTATTTTTTTCCCTGATAAAGCTCCCCTGTGGGGGTGGTAGCTAGAGGGAAGTGATAAAGGAAGAGTTGGGAAGATAAGGTCGAGCCGCCAGGTTGAGAGATCCTGAAAGGAAGGAACCCAAAAAGACCCTCACGAACTGCAGCAACTCGCGCTCGCTTTTCAAAGCGGCGGGACAGAGCAACCGAGCACTTTGCTTCAGTTTCGTGATGAGCAGGGGATTGCCGATTTTCCTTTTGAAGATGAACACATGAGCTGATGCAGCTGAGGCTTTACTCTAACTGCCACTTGCCAGCAACGAGTGTTCGGCGCGGCTCCCGTGGATTTTTGGAAGGCGTTTTGCCGCCCTCAGCTGTCTACCCAAGAACAAACAAGCATCAGGATGTTGGCACAATCCTTGTGTGGGAGGGCCACTGGGATTCTCCATGAGACGACGGTTTTTCCTGCCCTCTTCTTTAGTTGTGCAACTACAGTCCATTGCTAGCAGGATGTCTTTGTAACGGTCTGCACGATGATTTCTTGGCGGTTTGGCTTGGCATTCAATTGGTTTGTTTCAGGATACTGGACAATATTATGTAATTTCCAATTCACGTGGTTGTTACATGCAGTTAAGTATGTTGCGTGTTCATTTTGAACAGACTAGAGTTCATCCTTCATGAATCGAAGCTAGTTCCTTTAATGAACAGCTTCATATGTTGACCATCTTTTGAATCCCAAAACCATCCTCTTCTTCACATGGAGCAGCTATTTCTCTTTTCGAACCATTCGTTTTCGGGGCATCGCCGAGGATGTGAAGCCCTTCGAGGGCGTGGATCGGAATCAGATCTTGAAGATGATGTGTCGAGGATCAGTACCTGCGCTAACCTGGCCGAGCACGGAGGAGGATGCCACTGGGCAGCCCAGCGCGGGGTGGGTTAGCACAAAAGGCCGCATGCCACCGGTGTTGGTGACCGGGCGAACGGTTTGGTCACCGGTTTTGGACGTGAAAGGCCAAGACTCCCGTCGGAAACAGAGGGAGATGTGAACGATACTCTCCCGCTCTTATGTGTGTTTGGAGTTCCACGTATATCCACGTACTGTATAAAGGCCTTTTTTGTTCTCCACTTCCACATATATGTGTGGTGGCTTTTCTCCCCAACTTTGGTTATCCAGTGGTATTTCTGGGAAGAAGCCTTTGACTTGTCAACGCTTTGATTTGTTTGTACCAAATCGGAGGTTGACAAGTTGAAAATCTGATAGAATCTGATAGAGGGTCAACGCTTTGTGGTGCCAACCAGACTCCCAGCCAACATTCCAGCGGATCGCTCCCAGGAATGTGTTTTGCGGATCGCTCTCTTGGGCGACTCCTGCTACAGCATGAACCCGGTGAAGAGGCAGGCTGTGTTGCCCGGGTTGGCTTGATTTCTTATGCCAGGATGGGCATCCCATCCTTTCGTATTCATGTTCGAAAGGCCAAACACATGCGTGGAAAAGCATGAAGTTTGTGTTCAAGAACTAGACAGTTGAACTTCTGGCAACTGCAGGGTCTGGAACAGGACCCCCCCCACGACCAAAAATAAGTGAACATCAAGGGTTTTGATGCACTTTTTGATGCGATGAAGAGAAACCAACATGTTGGATGAAAGCACTCCGACTGGCTTTGCTCACTTCGACTGGCTTTGTTCTGCGTTTGTTTCGACTGGCTTTACTCTGATGAGTTCCATACGAGTCGCAAGGCCCGACATCATGCAAGCCACGTCCTCAGGGCCGGGACGGGACACGAGGAGGGAAAAGCGAGCGCTGGCTGTTCCACGCCTGCTGGGGTGTTCGGCAGGGGTCTCTGGACTCTTTGCCACCGCTGTCTTTGACCCGACCCAGTGGTCCCTGTGTGTGTGTGTTTGTACATGTTTTTGGACCTGTCTCCCAGCTCAAGGGCCTTCACGCCGGGTTCTCCAAAACACGGGGGGCTCTCTTCCATCTCGCGGACGGATGTCCGGACTGTCCGGCCCAACGGAATCCCCCCGTTGGGGTTTTTGGGGGTTCGTTGCTGAGGTGTTGGAGGTGCTTGAAATGCGACTCGGCCGAACCGCTGCGCGACGACCCGATTCGTCGGACGACCAACGCTTTGAACTGAAACGGTCGCTGCGACGGAAGGATGAAATTCAATGAACATCAATGAACCCTGTTTAGGAGGGTGACATCAAGAACCCTAGCCAGATCCAACGATCTTGTGGTCCATGAAGTCGACGAATGATAGGGGCGTTCGCAGCACGAGGTGGTTCGTTCGCAACACGAGGCGTTTCGCAGCACTGCACGAACTGATGTGGATCCTCTACAATTCACCTTCAACCAGCATTTGTTTTTATGCGAGGTTGCATTTCGGGTGGTGAACGAACTGTAGAGGCATGGGCTTAGGTATGACCATAATAAGATCCTTTAAGCTGGTTGAGACGCTACTAAAGTACGAATTGCTTTCGCCATTGTTTAGAGAACAGGCGGCCACGAAATCATCGTCAAATTCCAAACAATAGCAGGTGAGCTTTGCCCAAAGCACATCATACGAGTCTCTACAGGTGATTACGTCTTTACAGGTGATTAGGTCTTTACAGGTGATCATTGCAGACACAACGCTGCGTATGTTCTGGCCGCCAGGGTAGACTGCTAATGCGTTCGCACTGAGAAGATGTACATCATTTGGGTTCCAGGTCTTCATCAGTTGGTCGAGTGCAACTACAGTTTCTTGTAGCTCCACCAGAAAGCACCCCGCTTCATCCCGCATTCACCATGCTTCGGAATTCGCTCAGGTGCCGCGGACTGGGTGCTGAAGTGGAAGGTCCGGCAATGTGTGGGGGGGGGCTGGGGCGATATGTTGTAAGACGGGAGGAGAGGCTTGGCATCCTATATATATGAAATGAACAGCTCAAAGCGAAGGTTGATGGATGAAATCAAATTCGTCTTCCCAGGCATCTCTAGCAGTTTCCATCGAGATTTTCCCTGAGGGTAGGTGTTAACACTTTAAATGAACAGCATATTATATTCCTCATGTCATCTTCTGTGTTGCAAACTTCTCTCGATCCGAGGTCCACTGCTTGTGTAGACGCAGACGTCCTGATCCTCATGGATGGTGCGAGCAGCGCAGGGAAGGAACATTGATCCCAAAGAGGGGCCTTCGATGAAACTGGCTTCTGATAGTGACATGTTTTGGAGTCTTGGGATTGGGATGTCCAATCTACATATCAGGAATTTTCACACATTTTGTTTTTTGTGAAGACATGTGAAGACCATCTTTGCGTGGGTTGAAATAAACTATTACTTTCGAATGATTTCTCTATATACACTCGATTGTGGTCCCAATGGCTGAGCCAGATGGCTCATTCTGGCCACACGTCGATGTTCCTGGTGGAGATTTGAGAAAACCTCAAGTCTATCTTTGGCTTCCACTCAGACCGTTTTCGTGAATTTCCATGAATCTCCTGAACCTTTTTTTTGAAGCGGATCAAGAGATCTTAGACCTTCGGATCTGACCCTGCGGTCTTGGAATGCCAGGGTTTTTCGTGGCCTCACGGATTGACGCGAGATGTTCACAGCAACCGCCTCCACCGGACATCCAAGACATCTCCGCACCCAATCGGCTCGGATTTTCTCACCACGTGAACCGCCGTGACCGCCACTTTTTGGAGAAGACATGGGCCTGGTTCCATGAAGCCGTGGGACCAGTCCAGTCCAGTCATGTCCCATCAGTTGGGAGCGAGCCCGAACCGTGGAAAGGTCCACGGTGTGTTGGGCGCCATTTTTTCCGGTTTCACCCGCGGAAGAAGCCCCACGTCCCAGCAAACGTAGCCGCCGTCCGTGTTCTAAGACGACCGTCCCGAAGACCGCAACACCAAGCGAAAGACGACGGTATTTGGACCGTGTGTTCGTATAGGCCTATTGTCACAATCGAGAGAAACACTGCCGTTGATGGTCAGGTATCTCAGCCAAAGTGTTGATCCATCGAAGAATTGGGAGTCTTTGAGGGGGTTCGATGAGACGAAAGGAGGAGGTCTCAAAGAGCCCTCCGTGTGAATCTCATGTTCCGCGAAGAGCCCGACGCGTCGGGCGCCTTGGCGGGAAGTTCGAATGAAAAGGTCGCCTGTAGTTGTTGGCGGTGCCGAAAGGAAGAGCCTCCTTTCAATTCTGTCCCGACTTGGATGCCTTTCTGCCTTCTGGGTCTTTGCGCGAGGTGCTTATGACACGGTGGTTGGTAAATCCGCTCACGCAATTGATAATTACGTATCCACGCAGCCCTGGTCAGTAATGCATTTGCTGACTCAATCACCATGATGTTGGGCAGGAGGTTGTAACTAAGACTGGGGGCAGAACATGCTTTGGAGCTAGCTCATGGGGTGCAGATCAATGTTCAATCTCAGACCTATGTTGTTCCAACATGTTCAAACTGCGAACCAAGCTACATTTAGGGTTTTCTGGGGGACCCATCCCTGAATTTCAAAGATGCAATTGTTTGGTGGTGTCATTTACAAGGCAACATGACGGACCGGTCCGCTTCTTCGGTTCCTCACATCACCCTCCACCCCAGTGACCGGTCGAACCGGTTCGGAAACGGACGGAGACGTCCGAGCCGGAGAGGGAAGGTACGCTGAAGGGTCCAGAGTTTGGTGCGTTTTGCCCGGAGATTGGGATGAGTTGGGCCAAGAATGTCCACCGATATTTGTTTGCGGCCTCTCCATGAGTCCAGATCGGGTTTTTGGTTTGTTGGACCGGTTGACTTCGGGGGTCTGGGGAGATGGTTAGGGGCCCCAAACCCGTCTGGTGAATAGTTTGTGTTTTTCCCAGCTCCTCAAGTCAAGCAAATCAAGCAGTCGGGGGGCTTGACCCTTGGAATTGGTTCCGGTGGCCACGCTTTGCCGCTTCCTGTCACCTGGAAGAGGCCGCCCGCATCGTGGACGAAATCTCCTCCCAAATCCAGGAGGCTTTAGAACATGCGCTGCAGCGGTACAGGTGTGAGTTTACCAGGTGGTCATAGTTCTTTGACAAGCACAAAGAAAACTACACAGGTTTGCCATTCCTTCAGCAATTCTTCCTTGAGCCGTTCTCTCTCTCTTTTTTTTGCACAGATGGTTGATTTGCAGTGCTTTGCAGTCGTGCAAGGGCAAGTAGGAGGCCTCAAAGACTCAGAAGAAGTCACACATCTTTTGTGGTTTCCCAGTCTTGTCCTTTATTGACATGGTCCAACGTGTGAACAGGTTCGTCCGTTTGGAGCCCTCATCAATAAGCCCAAGATCAAGTGTATATCGGACTCCGCACGTGTCTTTGACTCCACATGTCTCCACTGGACCCAGATCCCACCAGTCGCTAGGTCCTGGCTGCCACCCGCACAGCTTCCAAGAAGGCCACGGTCGACGGCTCGGTACACACCGGCTCGGTGGGGATTCCGGAGAGGTGAGCGAAACCATGAGCCAAATGTGTTGGATTTGGTCCACCTGGGTGACCCGGAAGGGTGAAGCATGTCATGATTGGCGACCTGGGGCTGATGGGGATGATGGGAAAAGTGGTACCATCCCAGACTATCCCAATATAAGTACCCTCCAGATCAACATGGACCCTGATAACCACTGGGTCCGAGAGGTGTTAGAGGAGCATAGTCTTCCAAAGGTCCATGTTCACAATCCATGTTAATCTTCCCAGGTGTATTGTATATTGTGTGTTTCCCATGACCTGTGACAGTCAATAGAAGAGTATCACTCTTTTTGAGAAAGGCCTGCAACTGAACCAGCATCATCCACTGTTACAGGGAATGGGATACACCCACATTATAGGATATTACATACACATATATATATATATATTATACATAATTATAGATGATATAGAACATCTTAGAACCATCCTGGAGTACATCAAATATGAACCAATCTGAAACAAGATGACTATTGATGTTGCGATTTTCAAGCTGACCTGTTGTCCCAAAGACCTCGTTTTTCTTTCGTTGGATCAGAAACGCATGAGATCCCTGTGCTTGCACCTCTCTTCCTTTTTTTGTGACACAGAATTGGTCGTTTGGGAATCTACAGAAGGGTTGGCTGGATGCGTTTTTTCCAGATGCTGCACATATATAGAGGGTGGTTTTTTCCAAACCAACTGCAGGTGAGCCCTCGTTTGAGGGTACTGTAACGTTGCTTTCGGCGACGACCCAGCTTTGCCAGGAAAAGGCGGCATTGCTCGCGCAGAAGAGAGATCTGGACCGGGGCGGGAAGTACTGCATGTACCAAGTGATATCCTTTCCACGACGTCTTTGCCTTGTTTTTTGCCGCAAAACCTACGTTTTCCTTGTTTTTGCTCGGAGCTGGGCCCGCTCTTGGAGGAGAGCTCGCCGGAGTACATCGATGCTTTGGCCTATTTGGAGGACTTCATGGGCTTCGGGCTGACCTGTGTGGATCGACAGCGATGGATCGTGCCCGGTGGCCCCAGGGTATGACAGGTCTGAGCGGGCAGACTCAGATTTGTGGTTTGTGTTCTTGGGAGCGATGTCCCCTCCTACCAACTGTCATAGTCCACGTTTTTCAGTTGAAGGAAGGAAGGAAGGAACAGCAATGTCTAGAGTCTAAAGGTATGTAAAGGTCCAAACAAGAGAAAGGACGATGGAAACCCCAAGTCTTGCCCATCTTCCTCAGCCCTGCCAGGACCCCGACGGCGAGCGGCGAAGGCGGCAGGAGGCCGATGCCGAGGTGAGGTGGACCGCCGGGGGATCAGGGTCGTACGGTCAAAATACCTGTCACATGTACAACAGTTGAAGACATATAATGTATATATATAAACATAACTATATATATACTTATAAAATACCCTCAACTACTAGGGAATGGAATGGGTGACACTCCAGGGTCTGACAGGCCAAGGTCTCATATACTCCATGTACTCATTGCAGACCTTTTTTCACTAGGTATAGTAGACCTCAGAAGTTAGCTTGAAATATGGTTAATGTAAAACTATGCTGCGCTTTCAGAGAGCTGGTTTTGGAATCATCAAAAACTTGATGGAAGTTAAACAGGAGCGGTTATGGGAGTTCGTGAAGCAAAGTCTTAGAATCTGAAAACACCGTGCCGAGACAAGTCGTCACAATTCGTGAGTTTTTGTGATCTGGACGAGTTTAAGTTCCATTCTTCGGATCAATGACGGATCCTCAAAAGCCAGAGCTGCCAACAGCGCCCGCAGTCTGTGAGCCCTGGCTTCGTCAGATTGCGCCAGACTGTGTGCTTTTTGAATGCATGTGAAATGATGCCATCCGAAGCCTTGTGCGTATTTATTCAAAATTCACACTGAAACAAAATCTGGAGAAGATTGTCATCCGCCCATATGGGACTCCACTTTGAAGCCCTATCGAAGCAGCTTGCCCTTAAATGTTGTTCAATACAGGTCATTGATGCAAAAATGATTGGCTGAAAGTCCGCGCGCTAAGGCAAGTGTGCAGCGATGACAATCCATTCAGTGTCAGGCAAACCACGAGAGAGTGCGCATGAAACTTTTTCGCAGCTCTGATTCAATATGTTGATGGAAGCCCCTCTTTCAAGGGAAACGGTCTGAAATAGATACCCTTTTGCAAATTCAGCTGTTGAACTCATTAAACACCCGTCAATTTCATTCTAGACCCTTGGATGCTTGAATGAAGTACATGCTTTAACTCGTCCAAGCAGATGCAGAACATGGCTCGATTCTTGCGTATTCTTCTTGGATCTTGATGATTCTTGCGTCCAAGCTCCAAAGTGCACATGGCCTCGCATTTTGTAGCGGTGCCAGCGCCCAAGCTAAGGAATCCTCCTTCAATGGCGCAAATGAACATTTCAATCACAGAAAAGCCATTGTAGATTCTAGATCCCATGGCCAAACAAGGCTGGACAGCGTGAGGCGGATGCGATTCAAAGGGCCTGTGAAAAGACAGTTGGGAAGCCCAAGGTTCTCACATACGTTCTAGTGGTCTAACTACAAGATCCTCATCCCAAACCGTTTTCTGTCACATGCCTTCATCAAGAAAAACAATGTTTGAGCTTCTGTGGCCACAAGGAAACTTAAATCAAAAATGTCAGAGAGAAGAATTCGTGACAAACAGCATCCTAAAAAATATCAACATACAAGAAGAATACACAAGAATCGAACCATGTTCTGCATCTGTTTGGACGAGTTAAAGCATGTACTTCATTCAAGCGTCCAAGGGTCTAGAATGAAATTGACGGGTGTTTAATGAATTCAACAGTTGAGTTTGCAAAGGGTATCTATTTCCGACCCTTTCCCTTGAAAGAGGGGCTTCCATCAACATATTGAATCAGAGCTGCGAAAAAGTTTCATGCGCACTCTTTCGTGGTTTGCCTGACACTGAATGGATTGTCACTGCTTCACATTTGCCGTAGCGTGGAACTTTCAGCCAATCTTGTTTTAATCACAGTGACATTTTGTAGAGTTAAACCTGTGT